ACATATATCATCTACGTGTGAAATCCAGATTTTCTAGAGTCTTCTTATCGGTCATCCAGCGTATTCCTGACTCCTCGCTCCCAGTGCACAGTATGACGCATAATCCAGTCCACCGTAATTAAGAATATCATCGTGGGTGATAATAGGCAGCCAGCTTGTCTTACTCCTGTGTTCACTTTGAGCACCTCGCTTAGTTTTCCGTTGTGACACATGCTTGATTCAAACTGCTTCGATAGTATGTGATATTTAAAATAAATTTATCGAATATAGAATTACATTCTACCACCACTGTGCTCAAGTTCTACACTGATATTAGTGTTGTTCAAATCGTTTCATTTTTCAGCGCTAATAGAACTGGAAGGGAATGATGAAAGCTTTTTGATTTAAACAAAGCTCAAGGCTGATAAGCACTCTTGAAGCATAATCGGCAAAAAAGTAGTTAAATAAAACACATTTGGACAATGATAAATTTGGGAAAACTGAATGACCACAATTTACAATCTTACAAGTTTTCGGTGTGGTTGTTTTCTTTGAGATAACTAAGTGATTTCATTGAAAAGCTTTCGTTATCCTTCCAGAAAACGCAGATTCTGCATATTCCTAACCATTGCCTCTCTCGATGGGCTATATTAACTGACATAGGAGTGATCAGGTTATAAAAAAGATAAGCTAGCGGTGGTCAAACCAAACTTTGGCTTCATCAGTCAATGAAATCCACAACGGTTAGTTTAATCCAGCCAGGTAGGGAGATGTAGACTGCCTGACTGGTTGAAGTCCACGGGATGGTAAGAACCAATGGCGGTGGCTGGATACAACTGGAGATATAGGTCAAATATGTGTTTTCAATGGTTGGTGAAGATGTATTCACTCATTGCGATTTGTCATAACCAATAAAACTGTATTCTTCCTCCGTATTACTACGGTTCTTTTTCCCCATTTACACTTCTGTTCATTATCTCTCTCTCTCTTTTGAATCTCTCTTTACTCTCTCCTCTTGGTTTGTGTGTTCTACATGGGGGTAGAGTGGCATCTCAAACTGAGGCACATCTGAGCGAAGTTCTACGTTACACCAGTCAGTCAGACAACATGACTCCAGTGCAAGCTTTACTACAAAGTGAACTGCGTCGGTGTCACAGTGGTTAAGACTCTCACCGAACATGCACATGGTCCGGGGTTTGATCCCCTGCCGACGCACACCTGATATCAATGGTCGGCCTGCGAAATTGGGCTACCGATATCACATGCTGAAAATTCCATACTTGTACTGAAAATACGGTGTGCAATCAAGCTGTAATAAAAAAATGGACAGTCTATTACAGATTTTTTTTTTGATTTACAGCTTGATTCCACACCGTATTTTCAGTACAAGTATGGAACTTTCAGCATGAATATCGGTTGCCCAAATTCAGGCATACCATAGACATCGGGTGTGCGCCGGCAGGGGATCGAACCCCGGACCATGTGCATGGTCGGCGAGAGTCCTAACCACTGTGCCACCGACGCACTGAAGACGTTGTTTAGCAGGTCAACGAAAGCTTTCTAATTAAATTACCTAGCTATCTCAGAGTACGCAATCACATCGAAATCATCCATCTGATCAGAAATTCTTCTCCGTCACTTCAAAAAACTTGCAAGTACCTAAACATTTCAAGGCAATTCGATCAGCTGGAGGACTTCATCATTAGCAGATATCAGTTAGAGATCAACTGAAAGACCTGGGAGTACTTGACAGCTAGCTGTTTCGTCCTAGTTTGAAACTCTTCATAGTACACACACACTGTCGGGGTTCGAACCCACGACCTACTGGTTACAGGGTGAGATCGATTAGTTTAGCAAGAGGACTGGTAACAACTACTGTAATAAACCTGACTAAACAGACAACAAATTCTAAAACTGCAAGCGAACATGCTAAAATGAACACAATTTCCCTCAGCAACAATACTTCTTACTATTTGACAAACTATCAGAGTGGGAAATTATTTTGGTAAGTGCTGAATAGCAGTGGAATCCGAAATGTGGATTTCATTCTATATGAGACTAATCATCTGGACGCACCTGCATTTCCACTGAGTGAGTGATAGTGTTTTCACTGAGAGTCAAACCCTGAATTCTTCGTTTCGAGTGCAAAAGCTGTCGTGGTCTCGCTGAGATCACAATTACTGATCAAGAATTTCATGCATATTCAGTTGATGAGCCTCAGAGAGAACGAAATGCACATCCTATATTCCACTGCTGGTCATCATCCAACCAAAAGACTTCATGGTAATCCTAAGAAATCGTCGAAATATGCGTAATAAGAGCCAGCATGTCAACATATAGAACGATCATGCTTTAAAGTAATAATAATAATAGCTTTATTCTGGACAGTGGTTATATAATGGACGTAGTTTTAAGCGGAGTTTATAGCATAATATCTTCTCTTCGTCCGGCATCTTCAAGTAGAATAGTAACTGAAAGTAGATTTCGTGACAAGCTGCTCTCTGACCCGTTAGGCAAACCAGTCCATTATGATATTCCTTTTCCCTCTCCCTAGAGAAATCCATGATGATCAGTTGGCAGACGACTGTAAAAACTTCAGGAGTGCATTTTAATACCCAAAGATATAACTGGAGAAGACTTATCTCATGTTTTATGATATGTTACTGCCTGTATCAGCAGGTTGTACACATTTTAAATACTCACTGATTACAAGTCACATTTTAATGAATTAAAACAAAGTTAACAAGACAAAATCTATGCAGAATGGTGATGAGGGTTTATGGTAGCCAAGATTTTAAGCAGACCGCTGAGGCATCTCATAAATGCAAAGTGACAAATACAAATTTAACCTGAAAACAAAAGAGGGTTGATAGATTTTATCTGAATTTCTTATCCTATTAACAATGTACTTCCATTATGGATAAAATTTATTTTGATAAAGTCTCACAGTGTTGCTACACAGTAATATTTACTAATGACCACACGCTTCAAGCACAATTTATTGCTACTCATAATCCCAATATCTAGGCACTACTCACACAACTTTCTAACTTAGTTCCATTATTTGTCATCCCTTGATTTGATGACTGGTAGTAGTATTTTGCATATTTCCGGTATGAGTGATGAGTCATTCTTGTTGTACGTGTTGAGTGTAGATTCGATGAACAAGGGATCAGTAATCAATCACTCTCTCAACCTACTTATATTACTTCTCAGAATTCAACCCTCTCTAGCCCTCTTATGTGATTGTGTGTTAATGCATGCATTACAATGCTGAGCTTTTTTATAAATTGACCTCACAGTCATGGACAGTTGGGAAAATTTTGCTGTTAATACATTTAATTCTACTTCAAAAATATGGTGGAAATATGTGGATGACACTTTCACAAACAGTGTTAAAAATTTAACATATCTCTCTCTAGCTTCTTGACACATATAAACTCACTAGTAGATGGAATAAATTTCACATTTCAATCAGAAAATGAACAAGGAGAATTAGCTATCATGTTGGATTGTAAAATAAAACGAACAGGTGAAGGTAAACTGCACACTAGCGTTTATTAAAATCCAACGCATTCTAATAGATATTTAGGTTTTAATTCATCTCATCCTTTGTCCATATCTAAAGGCAGGCTTAGTTAGGTTTGTCTAACAAACCAAGCAACAACGTTACCAAATAGTACATCAAAAAACACCTAAATGATGAAATGAAACAGATAGAAGAATAGCTGGTTGGGGTTAAATAACTAACTATGATCATATGAAATTCATTAGGAAGACCAGAGAAGGTCAAAAGCAAAATAAAAATAATGGTGAAACCAATAATGATAACATAAATGAGACAGAATACAAGGCGTCTACTGTTATACCATATAAGGAGAGGACATCTGAGGCTCTACGTAGGATTCTGAATAAAGCAGGAATAAGAATGGCACTTAAACCTACAAACTCACTCCGGGACAAGCTGTATAAGTTAAAGGACCCAGCTGACCCAGTTAGACAAAATAATACAGTTTTCAAAATGCCGTGCAATGACTGTGATTTACGTGAACTACATAGGTAAAGCTAGTAGCTAAGGGTAGTCAGATTGTTGGAACACAAGAATTTAATTAAGGTTAGGATGGCTAACCCCGTGAAGATAAGTAATTTAGAAAACAGCTCATCAACTGCACTGCATGCATTAACACACAGTGGTTAGGACTCTCGTCGACCATGCGCATGGTCCGGGATTCGATTCCCTGCCGACGCACACCCGATATCTATGGTCGGCCTGAAAAATTTGGGCTACCGATACCCATGCTGAAAATTCCATACTTGTACTGAAAATACGGTGTGGCATCAAGCTATAATCAAAAATAAAAAAAAATAATAGTGTGAGAGAGGGTGAAATTCTAAGAAGTAATGTAAGTAGGTTGAGAGAAAAATTGATTTCTGAATACTGGCTCATCGAATCTACACTCAACACGTACAACAGGAATGACTCATCACACTCATACCAGAAATATGGAAAATACTACTACCAATCATCAAATCAAGGGATGACAAATAATGGAATTATAAAAACTGAGTTAGAAAGTTGTATGAGTGATGCCTTGATATTGGGATTATGAGCAGTAATAAATTGTGCTCGAAACTTAGATATCGGTAAATGCTGCTGTATAACAACACTGTGAGACTTTTTCAAAATAAATTTTACCCACAATGGAATAATATACAAGAACAAGCTTTATTCTTATATCAATATTAACAAACAATGTAGGATGATTAATAAAAATCCGAATAAATCTGCTGAAGAAGCTCTGGCTTACACAGTGAAACGTTCAGATTTTCTTAACACGCTGGGATTAATTTAAATAATTTATAATGAATTAATCTGACTCGGCGCTCAAATTATTCCAGGAAGTTCGTAACACCTACGGCCTGGAAACCTATAATGTAGTCTTATGAATTCAAGAAAAAGTTTTTTCAACTTGCAGTAATGCCTTTTATTCTTATGTGTTTTCTTTTTCACATTCTAACAGGCTGGATTTGCTTTAGGTATATTCCTTCTGATCTTTGTCGCCTTTATAGCCGGGTATTGTGGTTATCTTGTGTTGAGAGCTACGGAAGATTTAAAAAGTAAGTTGTTAGCTCTAATTTTTCTATAGAATTTTTCTTACTGATAATCTTGATAAGCTGCCCTTCGTCAGGTTCTACAGTTATATATGCATAATAGAGAATGAATAAATTAGTGTTATGAACAACATTAATGCTGTTTAAATAACATCGACTGAAGGTTGGCCAGGGCAATAGTGGTGGCTGGCTGGCTGGACTTGCTTCTTCTACGCACAAAGCACCAGTTGTCAATTCAGGCGAATTGCGATAGCCTCTGCTATTTGCAGTATTCCGTTGGTACTTGGATCTTTGAACCAGGTGGTCTAATATAGAACAGTTGACGGTTCTTAATACACCTTTATTTAGCCACAATACTGATAAATATTCCCCAGCGAGCATGGAAACCAAGCAACGGCCAATATAACTCGCTCCACAGGCTCAGTCGAATTGGTACATACAGTCAGAAGTGGCTAGTCTGGTCTAGGTACTTCATCTTTTCATCGAGGAATCACAATCAGTCGCGTGGAAAATAAGACGTGAAGTTCGCCAGCATTAAAAGTTCTTTGAACTGATTTTCTTAATTTCTTCGTAATTATTTCACTTGGAATATCTCCCTTGAATTGCAATCGTATACATATATAAAGGCTTGTTGTTTATGGATAGTGAGTAGTCCTTTTCCGCTTTACTTGTCATGTGTTTCTTGATAAATTTGTCAAGATAGCTATTTTCAATCACTCTGTCAAATACAATGCTTAATTCATCTTCAGTTACTACTTCTGATCATATAGCTCTAACTAACCCTGTGGCTGACGGTCTTTCTCAAATTTCTTTTGCACTTGAGAGAAAAAAAATATGAAAATGTGTATATTGTCCTGTCCAGAAGCTTTTCCCATGGAAAGGTCTCTTTATACTACCACCTAGTTCTATTACCTTTCATTTTAATACTCTGTATTTGAATGGGTATCATTATGTTGCTTCCACGTGACGTTATAAATCAAAGACTGAAATCCATATTTATCTCATTGTTCTGCTTTCTGCATGGAATAATAACCTTTGAGCTTGAGCTGTGATGTTTCAGCTGCGATGGTGTCTTTTTTTCTACTGAGTGGGATTGGCGGTCTAATAAAGCCCAACCATCCGTCTTCATCGGACTTGTTTCAGACTAGGAGAGATTTTGGAGGGCTTTGTTGAATGCAGACCACAAGTCTCTTGGTTCAGGTTTAATTCACACCTGGATGATGAAAGTAAAAAAATCAATATTTAGGATTCTTTTCTTTTCAAGAGTTGGTTTGTAGGGATTCAGTTCGTTTCACATTTGATTACGAATTGGCATCAGTTTCAGCACTCTTGAAAACCGCAGATTACTGTTCAACTATTTCGTCCTAGTTTGAGACACATCATCAGTATGCACCACCTTGGATTCAAACTTAAGGACTTCTTGTTTTAAAGCAAGCTGATAGATAATTCACCTGAATGAGTTCTAGTGAGAAAACGTGACTAGTGGAGTTCATTAGGTCAGGCGTTAGGACGGATATTCGCCACCGATGTCACTGACTAGTAATAGTCACGCTGAATTCACGAATTTATAGGACCTGAGATTCATGGGCTATCCATTGGATTGGGTCCAATTGGTTGAATAGTCTACACACTTGTCTTTCAGACGGAAGATTCTGGGTTCGAACCCTGATGGCATTGGTGGATGGCTACTACTACCGAAGCGTACCAAACTAGGATGAAAACAGCTACGAAGTACTCCCTAGAAAACAGTGAGCACTATGTTTGAATAAAGCAAGAACAACAGTGTGGTTTGTGCAGAATACTATGATACCATTACTGTTTATTTCGTTGGCTTCTCATCAGCTCAACTGCTTACAGCATAAATAAATTATTCAGGTTTATGTACAGAAACGTTTCAACATACTTGCAAATTTTACATGATGTCAGTAGACAGAAGGTTCCGCAATTAGTGAACAGTGCTCAGAAAATTTGTGCTTATATAGTTTTTACACAGACAGTTCAAGTTTAAAGAAAATAAATGTATGCAAACAGTGGTGAAGGAGTTACATAATAAAGATGAGAGGTGCGTAAGATGCTGAACATGTGCCGAAAAGCCTATGTCTCAGAGGGAACAAACTCTTATAATATCGCTATCACCAGATATCTCCTCGATACGCGTCATCAGTTGGAAATCAAGAAATCCTTTAAAATTATCAATAGACAAAGGAGCTTGATTCTCCTCAAGTTTTCCGAAACAATTTCTGTCAAACGCTTGGAATCTGATTTATGTGTTCAGAAAGATGAAGCAGTTATTAGTCTTTCCTTGACTCGTCTGGTAACTGGATGTCTTTAGTTACTCTTTCGTTTGATTACGTAATCAATGGCTTTAACCTCACGCCTCCCTTTGATATAGTGTAATATTGCTTGTCTCATGTTTCTGTGATTTGAGTTGAACTCAGTACATTGTTACCTAATTTATTAGTCACTCAGCATCTTACGCATCTCTCGTTTTTATGACGTAACTCCTTTACCATTGTATGCATACATTTTTTGTTTAAACTTGAACTCTCTGTGTGAAAACTATATAATTGTAATTTTCTGAGCACTGTTCACTAACTGCGGTACCTCCTGATGACTGACATCATGAAAAATTCGCAAGTATGTTAAAACGTTTCTGTACATAGTCTTGAATAATATATTTAGGCTGTAAGCAGTTGAGTTGATGAGAAGCCAACGAAATAAACACAGGATGGTACCATACTATTTTTGTATAGTTCCTAAGTTTTATTCCTGTATTTTTGTGCATCTATGTTATCATATTTAAGGTTGTCTGAAAGGTGGATGGGTCCCAGTGGCTTAATGGTATACGAGCTCGCCTTGTCACAAGAGGGTCCTGGGTTCGAATCCCGATGGGTGCGTACTACTGAAGAGTCCCAAACTAGGACGAAACAGATGTCCAGTACTCCCAGCTTTTCCAATGGTCCTCTAACTAATGCGTTGGTGGTATAGCGGTTAGGATGTTCGCCGACCATGCACATGGTTCGGGGTTCGATCCCCGGCCGACGCACTCCTTTACCTCTTTGAGCCAGAAATAATGCTGGTAAAGAGGAAAGGTTGGGCATGAGGCTAGCAACCTCATCCTGTAAAATAAACACTGCTACAAAAACATTCAAGCCTTTAGCTTGAAGCCCTATGTTCCACTGGGAATGTGAAGGAAAAAAACAAACAACGAAAACAAAAGGTGAATACCTAAATGTTTATATTTACAGGCAGTAAGAGTATTCCTATGAAATTATTATATTTTAGAAAATCTTGTACAAATAATGAAGTTAAGGCAGATGATTCACCTCTTTCCACAGTATGCAATGTGTGACCTCGAGGAAAGGCAAATACTTCAATAACTGCGATGACTTTTAAATCGATCTGAAATTGGAAATTTGTTTTCATTTTTTCCCTTTCACGCTAGTGAGATATCTGTTTACATATATATATTTAAGTGGGGAAAGATTAAAAGCTTGTTTACTTAGACAGAAAGATACACTTTGATTTGTCTAGATGGTGAAACGGACATACATAGCTAGTGGTTACTTTTATGACATATGATGTATGTTTACCACTGTGTTACTTGGATTATTTCTTCTACTACTGGTGTTTTTCGGCGAATCGCTATTTACAAAAAATGGATATTGAACAAAGAATATTCACATTTTCGATAACCTGCTCTTCATCAGGCTCTAGAGTTATATATACATAATAGTAGTGAAGGAATGAATTAGTGTTATGAACAACATTAATGTCAATAGCATCGACATAACAATAAATTGAATGTCAGAAAAATTAGGAAAGATAATAATACAACTTTATGAATTTATAGTCTCCATTGAATGTTGACCAGGGCAGTAGTAGTGACTGGCGGCAACTGCTCCTTCTGCACACAAAGCACTGGTTGTTTCACGTGAATTGCGATAGTTTCTGCTGTTTGGAGCGTGCGGTTGATACCTGGATGTTTTCGGCAATTTATCTGGTATCCGGTAGATGATAGAGAAGGATTCTTTAATGCTGGCTTTGTGGCCGGTTCGGACCAGGTGGTCTAATATCGAGCTGTTGATGGTTCTCACTACACCTTTACTTAGCCATAATGGGAGATATTCTCGAGAGAGCACGAAAAATCAAGTTCCTAGAGCAACGGCCGGTATAATTCGCTCCACCGCAGACACAGTTAAATTGGCAGATACGGTTGGAAGTGGCTAGTCTAGTAAAGGTACTTCATCTTTCAATCGAAGAATCACCATCCGTCGTGTAGAGAATAAGACGTGTAGTTTGCCAGAATTAAAAGTTCTTTGAAGTGATTTCCTAACTTCTTCGTAATTATTTCGCCCTTGAATTGCAGTCGTATATATAAAGGCTTCTTGTTTACGGATAGTTAGTAGTCCCTATCCGCTTTCTCAGTCATGTGTTTCTTGATAAATTTGTCAGAATAGCTATTTCCAATCAAGCTGTCATAAAATGGACTCACACAAAAAACTTGAAGGATCTGGACTTCGTCGATGATATATGTCTGATTTCCCACAAACTGGAAGATATGCAAGCGGAAAGCAACAAGTTGGCAGAAGAAGCATCATAGATAGGACTTCAGGTGAACATAGAGAAAACAGAGGTGATGAAAATTCCTGGGCAACACCACCAACAGCAGCAACAACAGACAACGATCAGCATAAATGGGAGGAACCTGAAAAATACAAACTCTTCTACCTACCTGGGAAGCATCGTCTCAAATACAGGCGGAACTGATTTGGATATCAAAGCAAGAATCGGAAAAGCAAGACAAGATTTCATTACTCTCAAGTCTCTGTGGAGATCAACAGCACTCAGCATCAAAAATAAGATCCGGATTTTCAACTCCAATGTGAAGTCAGTGCTACTATACGGATCAGAGACTTGGCACGTCATAAAGAGCAGCTCAAACAAACTACAGACATTCATTAACAGTTGTCTTCGCTCAATACTCAAGATCAGATGGCCAGCCA